CTCCCTGCTCAGGCAGGAAACCCTATACCATTTCAGACAAATGGCTGTCCAGTCTCCTCTTAAAAACTTCCAGTGTTGGAGCATTCACCGCTTCTGGAGGTAGGTTGTTCCACTGATTAATTGTTCTAATAATTGTTCTAGATACAACCCACTGGATTTGGCAAAATCAGGGAATATACAGTATGTCTTATTCAGACTTGAGTGGTATCACCAGGCGCGTGAATTACTCTTCAAGGTTCCTATTTTGGAACTTGCTTCAGATATTGGGGTCAATCCGTTTAATTAGTCCGAGCTTTCTCTCATACCCAGGGCTAGATCACACAGACCTGCTGCTTGTTTTGGCATGGAAACCTTTTTTTTTTAACCTGTCCATGTGTAGTTTATGTTGCATGGCTTACCTAGCACGTGCCGGGCAGAGACATACTTTTCTCTTTCAGAAGAGAAGTGTAAATACAGCCAGCCATCAGAGATACAGTACTGCATATAATTTCACTTTCCTGGGAGCTTACTTTTTACTGCCGGATTCAAACTAGGCCAGCCAACCACATTTTAGCTTAGCATATTATACAGAGCATAAAAATAGGATAATGAAGTAAACCACCGTCCAGTTAATCACATATTATGCGAAGGAGTAATAAAAAAGAATGAAGAAAGACCAAAATGACCAACAGGAACAGTATTGGAGAAACCTGACCTAACCATCTTTATTGTAGTGTGGCCAATTTATGGGATACATTTAGCCCTAGCCCCCCACCCCCTTTTTTTTTTTTTTGCATTAGAAGCCTTAAGGCTGTACCGAGAGAACTGAACTACAACGATAGGCTTTTACAACACTTTTTGGATCAAAGTAGAATTGGCATATTAAAGAAAATAAGTAGAATGACCCACAACTGACCCATCAGGTGAAGTGCTAATATGAGACCCCACCCACTTTGGCCTCAGCATCATTTCCAGAGTCTAATTCTTGGCCCTAAAAAAGGATATCCATAAATTTCCAGAAAATTTGAGAATGTTATTTAATTCTCTATAGGGATGAATGAGTTGGCTTTTGGAACTGCTGTAGTTAATCCTGCTGTATTCCTGCTTCTTGCCATGGTGCAGTAGTGGAGGCCCACTACCCAAACTGAAGTCATGCTGTGAATTCTGGCTTCTGACCACTGCTTTGGGTCAGGCCAAGCACTGGCCAGTGCTCTTTCCCCCCCTAGTGGCAATTTTGGGCTATACTTGGCTTCTTGGTTGCTTTTAGCTTGTAACCTAGTTTTTAACCACATAATCTAAAGTGTGTGGTCACCAACTTTGCACAGCGAGCTAACTGGATGAGAGCGTGTCTGGCCAAGCTAAATTCCATGATTCTGAGGTCAGGAACTCTGTAATTTCTTGCATGGGAGATCTATAGTTGAAAATTCCATGGTGGGTCACCCTTCTGAAGCCATTTTACTGACCTCTTCTGCAATTTGTTCTGCCTGGTTACAGCAACATTTCTGGAACAATATACAATCTTGCAACATGTTTTGGTGAAGCTAGAAAAATGCAACGCTCCTTTTTATGCTTCCCTTTAACCACATTTCTTTTATACAGCCAGAGGTGGGTGGACTTGCAAGATCCTTATTTTTTACTAGGAACCCAAATCCTCTAACCAGAGTATATTTTTGGAATTAAGAAACATGATTAGTTAGCCAAGGAATTTATTTTCAATACCAGAGCTGAGTTCACCTGTGACCCAGAAATTTACTCCCACTTCTTCTGACCCAAGCTTTTTTCTATCTCAATAATCCAAGGGTCTTTTCACCTCTAAGGGCTGTGCCAATCCAACGTCTGCAGTGCCCTTCCCTCACAGTTGTGAGTGTCTCAGTACGCTCAGAAATTGCTCCAAAGGAAACAGCAAAGAGAAATGTGTTGCTTTGCCTCTGTAGCTGGGGAGCAGTTGATTCCCACTGTCAGGAACATCCTTCTTATCTAGATTTTTCCTCCTTTTCTGAATTGAAGGTATATAGTCATTATGTGTTGCTTTCCAGTGGCTCTTGCGAATCGCTTGGGTATGTTGCCGTTTCATTTGTTTACCTTTTCTTTCCTTGCCGTAAAAAGCAGACATGATGAATGTAGATCCAATGGCTGTAAGGAGAGGCCCTAAACTAGACAGGAGAAAGCTTTTGGTTCTAGGTATTGAGAATCAAGGAGATTGTGGTGGGTTCTCTTTGCTTAATAGTAACCGAGACTGGGAGAGAAAAGGCTTCCATGCAAAGGGAGGATTGTTAGGGAAAAATTACAAAATAAAGATTTCTTTGCAAAAAAAACCCCTATTTTATCTCTGTTTTTGTTTGCTTTCTAATTCCTACTTCCTGTCCTACCTCAAACTATTATTTAATTTTATTGGTTTCTTTTATTTAGCTGGGGCTCTGTAATTGATGCTCCTGTATCTTACAGTTTTCGATTCTAGATCATAAAGTCTTTGTTCTATATTCTGTAGTCTTTCCTGCTCTGGTTTCTTTTCCTTTTATAGAGCCAGTACTATATTGTACTTTACCTTTAATTTTTCCTTAGTCTGGCCCTTGTACATTTGGGTCTTTCAGGTAACAATGCCTGACCCTTCCTAGCCCTCACGGTCACCTGTGTGCCCTCCTGAAGATAAGTGGGTGCTTGGTGGAAGGTTGAACCTGCTTGATCTAGGCTAGCCCTTGAAGTCTACAGGAGCTTCAAACAATGGCAGGCACCCTGGTGCCAGGGCCACTCATTTAAAAAATGAGGATGGGTACCTAAGGCCAAACAGAGGCCGATCTAAAAGAAGGTGTGAGTTATTTGTTGATTTTGTCTCTTTCAGATTCAGAGAAAATTAGCTTTGCTGGAAACAAACTTGGCTGGGAGCATCTGGTGTTTCTTAGAAGTAAAACCAGCTTGTTTATCTCATTTCTGCCAAATTGTGCTGGAATCTAATAAAAATCCACTATAGCAAGTTCTAATTATTGCAGGTTCTGCTAGATTTATGGCCAGGGAAGTGCAGGTGTGTCTCATCTTCCACTTCTGTGCACCTGGATACCTTTTTGCTTAGCAAAGTGCCAGTAATTGCTAGCCTGTCTTCCACATGCACAGATTAAAGTGAAACAATGCACAAGTACTGTCCAGATTTTTTGACTTGGGTGTAGATCAAGTGACGTGCATTTTCATTCTCCCTTATCCAAACTAGATGTTAGGAGAGGGGCCACACTAACATATGGGTCCAGGACAGAAATGAATTTGATTCAGTGTAAGTGTTTTCCCTTTAGTACATTTCCTCCTTCTATCCCAGTGATGGCGAACCTTTTAGAGACCAAGTGCCCCAAACCCACCCACCCCATCCCGCTCTGCCGTGCCTGCTGAGCCACCCACCACCTCCACAGCCCGCCACAGATCACCCAGGAAGCCCAGCAGCGCCATGGCGGCCACGCCCTCCACCCATGCCCCACAGCATCATCTGTGCACGACGGGGCGCAAGGGCGGAGTCTTGTCCCCACTGCCTGGCTACCATGTCCTTGGCTGCGCTGTTTCGCGTGGGGCAACTCTCCTTTGGCAGGGCTGCTAGTGAGGAGGGGGCCGTGGGAGGAGGCGGAACTGGGGCAACGGTGCATGTGCCCACAGAGAGGGCTCCGAGTGCCGCCTCTGGCATGCGTGCCATAGGTTCGCCACCACTGTTCTATCCTATTAAAAGTTGTATGGGTTTGATGGGCTCTGGTTATGTGTGATCCTGAAGTGACACAGCTTTCCTTTTAGGGACCCAGATATAGTTCCTGCTATGATTGCCCCCCTGCTGTCTCTATTACGCCCTTGTATTAGAGGTGGGCATGAAGTCTTCTCTTGCACTTTGTCAGAAACCTAGAGGGTCATCCATTGTTTCCTTGTGCCATAGCTTATTTTCCCTTTCCACCTTCAGCAACTGCCTGCGTAATGCCAGTATTCCCTCCTGCCCATGTAAATGCGAGATTGCCCTCATTGTCACCTCTTCTGTTTTATTTTTATTTTTTTTCATTCCCATTTGTGCGCTCTTCATGCCTTGTGCTCCCCAGAGTTCACACCTCGGTGCCAAATATATCCTTGTTTCTGTCTGTCAGGTTTTTGTCTGTTGCTGTGACCCATTTTTTCTGTGGCCTGGCAAGGGATGGCCCATTTGACACCATGGATCAGCAGCTTTTTGTTTTGTACAGTTGCCCCTAGACCTTTTGTAGAATCCGAAGGGGCACCAGAGCTCATTGTTAGAATATGCACTGCTTTGTTGCCATTGTTAAATATAGCATTGTTGGTTCCTGTGGTGGAGCCACCCTTGGACTCAGCTGGTTTCAGTAGGCCCAACACATGCATGGGTCCCCCTCTTCTCACTCTGAACTCTCTTTGCTTTGTGCTTCACACTCTTTCTCCTGGCAGGATGTCTGCAATTTAGACTGAGAGCACTATGAGGTAGTAAGTCCATTTTCTTCAGGCTGTCCCATTTCAAATTGCAGGTGGCGGTAATCGTACTGCGGAAATGTCCCTCTGGAGATTAAATAAATGAATTCCATCATACAAAAAATGTCAGAAAGTAGGACTTAGCTTATGTTTCTTCCTTGAAACAGTTTGGGGGCTTAGAAATTTTTTTTTTCCAATTATGCAAGTAACATCCCCTCCAACAGTTTGAAGTGGAACAGCCCAGGCAGAATTTGACCATTTCCCATTGAACTTGGCTTCACTTTCCAGCCATTTGCTTGTGACAGGCCTATCTGCTTCTTGGAGAACTGTCATGTCTTCTTTCTGCATACCGTCAGCTTTTCTCTTGCATGTGGTGTGTTTGTGGGTACAACTTACATTGCCCACTGACAAACTTATTAGGGCCCACGTGATTCCCTAGACTCTTTCTTCTCCTCCTTTCCCTGCCTGCCCCAAACATAATGGGCAGGCGTCCATCTTGTTTGCCTGTTTCCCCGTCTGCTCCATTCTTATGCAGCCCTGGAGTTATGAGTGATGGGGCTGTGACATGGGGCCCTCTCATCTCCCAGAATGGGAAGCTTTCAAAGAACAAGCGGAAGAAGTTGAAGAGGAAGCAGAAACGGCAGAGTCAGCTCCTGGCTGAACGACTTCGGGACCTTCAGCAGCTGGAGGATCTGGCAGCTACAAATGCAGGGACCAGCAAGTCCACAGAGACCACAGGTAAGATGGGCAAAGCAGACTGGTCTGCTATGGTACAGTCCAGGCCCTTGGGATCATTCCTACAAGCTTACAAAAACATACAGCAGATTTACACCTGAACCATATTTTCTTAGAAAAAGCAGAAGACAAAAGGGCAAATATGAAGGATTAAAAAAATGGTTGGGTTTATAATTTGGTTTATAAAATTCAGAAAAAAACAAGAAAACTTTACAAAAGTGGTATAGTCCTCCTGCTTGAGCAAAGGGCTGGACTAGAAGACCTCCAAGGTCCCTTCCAGTTTTATTCTATTCTAGTTATATTATAACAACAGTCCCCAACCTTTGTGGCTTGCCGACCTGGCTGGGGGAGGGGGGGAGAAGGGAGAGGAGAACTGGGCTGTGCGAGCAGCAGGCCAGCACACGTGCATGCATGCAGCCCTTGTGTGAATGATGGGCTGGCGCGCCCGTGCACCTAGTCCTTGCGCGAGCGGCGGGCCGGTGCAAGCTGAGGGCTGGCGCGCATGCCCTCAGCTCGACTTGCATGAGAGGCAGGCCGGTGCTCATGCACGTAGCTCAACTTCATGAGCGGCAGGCTGGCATGCATGTGAGTGTCCACCAGCCCACTGCTCACACGACCCAATTCTAAATAGGCCACAGCCCGGTAGTGGGCTGCGGCTCGGGCCTTGGGGATCCCTGCTTTATAATAAAGGATATATGGTCATGATATGTGTATATATCCCTTATATGGATACTAGGCAACATAGTGCTTTGCAATTGCTCTGCATTATGGTAACTCCTGAATTTGCACTGGTGCATGTTTGTAAGCTTGGTTTATACACTAGCTTCTCTTGATCCCTTATTATATGCTACTAGGCAACCTGTTGTGTCATTTTTCAGAGATATTTCTTTACCAGGTTCCTCAATGCCTTCAACAGTTGAAGAACGTCTCATGTACTGAAAAAGTGCTTAAAATTCAAGGAGATAGTCAGCAATGTATATAGTATCTGCCTTAAAAGTAGCCTGTAATGAACTGTACAGCACAGTCAAACATCAGGAGGTGACACAGGAAATGTTTTATAATAGTTTGCATTGCATCTTCAATTTTTATAAAATTTGCTAAATTTCAGCTCCACAAGGGTCATGGGTTCTGGATTTTGAGTGCATTATGTAAGTTTGCCCATTTGAGGCACCTTGGTTCAAAAACCATTGCTCTACAATGCATTGTTTTGTCCAGATAAAGATTACACATAGACAAACTGGAGAATTGCAGTAGTATACTAAAGAAGTATGTCTTGAACAGTGACAGAACTTCTAATGTAGTGTGTTTGCTGGAAAAGGTGAGATACTTTCAGAGATGGATCTACCTTGAAAATAGCCCGTGTTGAACTGCATAGCACAGTTCAACATCAACACAAGAAACTTTATATGACATTTAGTTTTATGTCATAATTTCTTTTGTAAAATTTGCCAAATTTCAATTCCACAGGAGTCATGGATCCCAGATTTTGGATATTCTATCAGTATTAGCCCATTTGAGGGATCTTGGTTCAAAACATATTGCCCAATGATGCATCATTTCACCCAGTTAAAGGTTACAGGAATGAGTTTTGTGTGTGTGTGTGTGTGTGTGTGTGTGTGTGTGTGTGTGTGTGAAAGAGAGAGAGAGAAGTGGAGTAGAGAGAGAAAGGAAAAACAAACTCTTTGTTAGCCTGTTTTACTCGTGTATGTTTGTTTTTGTATGTTCCACAGTTTACTTTCAGCTTAGAGTCACTTAGAGTCTGGACTGCAACTACATTTAAGGCCAAGTTGTAAATACTGGCATCCTGCTACATAGTGGTAGTATTTTTTCCCTGGAGGGAGGAATAAATGTCTAACTAAAAAGGTTGTATAAAATTCTTTCACAGCTATTATATGTATGCAGGTTGATTTATTTACCACCAAAACTGCAGAAACTTTTAAGTCAGGCATGTCCAGCTTGCAGGCTGCATGTTGCCCTGGACAGCTAGTAATGTGACCCCACAGGAACATAAACTTCTAATACTATTATGTGATTTATATACATTAATTGCATTATATATTTTTATGTGGCCCAAGACAATTCCTCTTCATTCATTGTGGCCCAGGCAAGCCAAGAGGTTGGGCAATCATAGTTTAGGTCAGTGTTAAGTTTGTCTAATTTTCTTTTAAGGCTGGCGGTTCTTACCGTACTTTATGGAACTGAAATTCCATACTTTAGTGAAGTACTCTACCAGGAAGTAACTTTATTTCTCTGCCCGAATTTGTATTGGATGATCCCAACTTAGCATTTATGAAAAAGGAAATAAAAATATATAAACATATAAATATTAAAAAATACATAAAATAAAAACAAGATTCTCATTTTGGATCCTTGCTTCTGAGACTTTGAATAAGACATAGGGGGTTTTGCCAGACATCCCTTTTTTGATGTACTTTTACTTTACCCCAAATCATGTCTTTCTGCCTTCTCCTCTCGGCTAATAATGTTTTCCTTCCTCTTGCTGGGAAATCTTGTCCTTCCATTATCTTCTGCAGAAGGGCATTGCAGTTGCCCCATCTCAGTCTCTGGAGGGGGAGAGCCCTCGGGGGGATCTCTGGCCTGCAGCCCCCAAAGCCTGACGTCATCTTCTGGCTTCTACACACACAATGCCTACGACAGCTGCAATGGGCATTCCCCACCTGGAACCGCCAGCCATCATGTCAGCCCTGACTCTGCCACCTCCGGCTTCTCAGGATCGCTCTTCTCTAGTTCAGCCCTCTCGGGCGTTTCTAATCAGCGGGAGCGCGGAGGGCTTCTCTCACCCAGCAGTGAGTACTTTACTCCAACTTTCGGGGGGCGGGGGCGGCAAAGAGAAGTAAGCCCAGCATTATTGAACATCCCAGCTTCCCACCTTGGAAACTACATTCCACAACCCGTCAGCCATGCCATGCCCTCCCATCTTGACCAGGCTTTCTTAAAGTTATGGTAGCACATTATCGCTGAATTAAAACCTCCTTCTTAGCCCTGATTCCCACAGCATGGTTATCTTTCCCCTCCCCACCCACCCCAAAAATGACGCTAAGCAGCATTTCCATTCCACAGAGGAGAATGGTGTGCTTTGATTGCGATTCCTCACAGTGGTTCTTGTTTGTTATCTCTGTTCTTTTCGACCATGTCTGGGCAGCTTTTGGCACTTCTGAATTCTTGGTGAACCCTTTGGAACCCCAAAACGCAGACAAAATCAGAGTGAAGATTGCAGATCTGGGCAACGCTTGTTGGGTGGTGAGTAATTTGTGCAAATCTCTCCCCCCTCCCCCCCCGATAATGGTGGCTGCCTATCAGGAGTGGAAAATTAGGGTTGCGTTGCAAAGGGTATCTGGCTTGTTTAGGAAGTTACATAATGGAAAGTCATGAAAATTCCTATAGGAAGAATAAAGAAAACTTTCACAGTGAAGGGGAGAGATGGTGTTATGTGGAAGGGAGACACAGGCAGTCCTCGACTTACAACAGTTCATTTAGTGACCATTCAAAGTTAACAGTGGCATTGAAAAAAGGGAGTTACGACTGTTTTTCACACCTACGACCCTTGCAGCATCTCCATAGGCACGTGATCAAAGTTCAGGCACTTGGCAACTGACTCATAGTTATGACGGTTGCAGTGTCCCAGGGTCACATGATCCCCTTTTGCTACTTTCTTATAAGCAAAGACAATTTGGGGGAGCCAGATTCACTTAACAACCATGTTACTACCTTAAAAACTGCAGTGGTTCACTCTACAATCTTTAGTAACCTATGGTAAGAAAAGTCGTAAAATGAAGCAAAATTCACTTAACAAATGTCTCGCTTAGCAATATAAATTCTGGGATCAATTGTGGTCGTAAGTTGAGGACTACCTGTACTTGGAGGCATAGAATCGAATTTGTCCCTTTGCTGTAGTCGAGATATTACTGTGTACAACAGAAACAACACAGTGGAAAGTTACATATATGCAGAACTCAGACATACCTGCTCTTATTAACTGTATATATTCTACCCTTATTCTAATAAAATCAGGATGATATTTATGAAAATACAGGTAAACCTTAATTGACAACTACTCGTTTACTGACTGTTCAAAGTTCCATGGGTGCTGAAGGAGTGGTGTTTATGACTGGTTCACAAAGTTCTGACTTTCCCAGCAACTCCACGATTACATGATTGTGATCTGGCTACTTGGTAACCAGCTTGCACTTAGCAGTGGTTGCAGTGTCCCGCAGTCACATGATCATAGCTTGCGATCTTCCCTGCTGAATTCCCACAAGCAAAGACAATGGGGAGGCTGGCAAGGAAGTTCACAAGTTGTTTGGGTAAGTCTCACCCACCCACCCACCCATCCTGCCCCAGCCCTTTTGCACTCATGCTGCACCTCCCTGGCCCCCTGCACACACTCCTCAAGCCTCACCGTGCTCATATTGCACCTCTCTGGCCATTCATGCACCCTCTTCCTCTTGGCATCAGCAACCTCCAGCACCACTAGCACACTCTCACATGCCCTCCTCCAGCTCCTCTTCATTTGCACCATGCCCCCCCCAGCCACTCACACATACACAGCCTGGCAGCAGTCACCCCAAGCCCCACTGCCTTCATCACACCTGGCATTTTGCAGGGCAGAGGAAAAATTGGGAGCTAGACTCTATCTTTTCCACATAAAGAGCTGTCTTCTATTTTGAGACTTAATGGGATTTGTCTTATTTTTTTTTCCTTCTCATTATGCTGTGGAGGACATTTCATGATGAGTCATGGTTTTTCCCCACCCTTAAGCATTCCGTGCCTTATTTTGCTGAAAAGATCCCAAATGTTTCTATTTTCTTTAGTCCCTCAAACTTTAGATAGAAGGTGGCAGATGTAATTGATAGTTATTAATGCATCGATAGTCCAGAGCACAAGAATTATATTAAAAGGCATTTGACACCATGAACGAGGTGGGCTCTGTTCCTGGGAAAGCTATTTTGGGGGTGTATGTTAGGGTGGTGGGTGGGCTAAAAAGAACTTGTGGGAAGAATTAGACATGGCGGGAAGAATATTTGGGTCACTATTTGAAATACTGTTTGTCCAAAGAGTTGAGGAGAGCGGAGGATGTATGCTGTGCACAAACCAGAGGGGGTGAAGGCTCTCTTCATTCTCTGCTTAATTTCTTTTAGCACAAACATTTTACAGAAGACATTCAGACTCGTCAGTATAGGGCTTTGGAGGTCCTGATTGGTGCTGTCTACAGCACTCCAGCTGATATCTGGAGCACAGCGTGTATGGTAAGTTTTCCTCTGGCTTCTTTATAACTTTTTTGCCAAATTCTGCTGACAGTTGCTTTTATGCAGAATAGATTTTTAATTCCAACACATCGTTCAGTATAATTTGCAGCTAACAATCGGCTGACATATTCCTCAAGTTCTGCTGTGAATTCCCTTGGCAACAAGTAATTTTGTCGCCTAATTTATTATCTTATAAACAGCCAGCTTGCAATTTCTTCACCTCCCTGTGGCGATTGTGATAATAAGCAAACTTGTTTCAAACTGAATGTGTAAAATGTTAGGTTGTTGCCCGTTTGTATTTATAAGGTAATAACTTTGCAGTAAAACAGAGCAAAAGCCCTTACCAAATCCTAAATAAATCATTTTAGAAGCCTTAATCTAACCACCCAAAACCAATAGGTAGGTTTTCCCTATACAGGTAGTCCTCGACTTAACGACCACAATTGAGCCCAAAATTTCTGTTGTTAAATGAGACGTTTGTTAAATGAGTTTTGCCCCATTTTACAACCTTTCTTGCCACAGTTGTTAAGTGAATCACGGCAGTTGATAAGTTAGTAACCTGATTGTTAAGTGAATCTGGTTTCCCCGTTAGCTTTGCTTGTGTTAGAAGGTTGCAAAAGGTGACCTTGGGACACAGCACCAGTCATAAGTATGAACCAGTTGCCGAGCATCTGAATTTTGATCACATGATCGTGGGGATGCTGCAAAGGTCATTAACTGTGAAAAATGGTCGTAAGTCATTTTTTTTCAGTACTGTTGTAACTTTGAACAGTCACTAAATGTACTGTTGTAAATCCAGGACTACCTGTACTTCATGGACAGATAGATAAATACCCTTAAACACACAATAAACAATTTCGAAAGATTCTTGTGATGCTTTTAAAATATGATTAAGTGGTGTGTGAACGGTATATTTAGAAGTCACAACCCAGATTAATCACCTGAAATCTTTTGTCAGGATTTTGAGGGGGTAATATACCGCCTTCTGCTGCCGATGAGTAGCCTGTTGCTGATCCCAGCCTTAAGCTAATCACGTAATCCACATTTGCTGAAGCTAATTTTAGATGAGTAATTCGTAAAATCCAGCCCGCAAATAATGCCAATGCAGTCCTTTCCCTTGTAGAGTTGTGATCTGGTTTTTTAGGGTGTGATGAAATAAATATTTAAGCACTACTCATAGCTCCCAACAAAGAATTGGTTGAGCATTGGAATCCTGAAGATGATTCATTTGGAACATCATAGGCCCTGGGGAATGAGAGTTTTCTTTTAGCTCCACTGTACTATTATCCCCACACACAAGATAAATCCCCTCCCTCTTTTATTTGACAGGCTTTTGAGCTGGCAACTGGAGACTATCTCTTTGAGCCTCACTCTGGAGAAGATTATACAAGGGATGAAGGTAGAGAACATTGGCTGGTTGAACAAAGGAGGGTGATGGGTGTGGGGTAGTTTTTTTTTCAATCTTGGCAACTTTTAAGACCTTAATGCTGGCTGGGGAATTCTGGGAGTTGAAATTCACACATCTTAAAATGGCAAAAGTTGAGAAACGCCGGTGTGGGGTGATGCTGCAGATTTTCATGAAGAAGGCTGGAACAATGGAGGGTTATGCTGAGAAAGCGACCGGATTGACTTTTTTTTTTTTTTTTAAAACATGGTCATAAAAGGGAATGCCGAGGACCCGGTTATATGCCTGGGTCAGGAGCCACAAATGTGCAAAGGGATATGTTGACACTGATGGTTTATAACAGTGGTGGCGAACCTATGGTACGCATGTCAGAGGCGGCACTCAGAGCCCTCTCTATGGGCACACGTGCTGTCGCCCAGGCCCCGAATTCGTAGTTTGTGGCATAGTTGAGCAGCCCCTCCAAATGGGGCCTCCTGGCACTAACGCTTTCCTTCTTTCAGATCATATTGCCCACATTGTTGAGTTACTTGGCGATATTCCCCCCCACTTTGCTCTTTCGGGGCGGTACTCGCGTGAGTACTTCAACCGGCGAGGTAAGTTGGAAAAACCTAACATTTGGAGGGTGATCTTTTAGAGCAGGGGTGTCAAACTCGCAACGTCACGTGACGTGTCGCAATGTATGGTGACTTTTTTGCCATTGCTGGCAATGGGGTGGGCGCGGTTTCGCTATGATGCATCAGGCCTGCGGGCCGGCAGTTTGACACCCGTTTTAGAGGAAGCTTTGCTCCGGGACATGTGGATTCAGAGTTTGTTTATAGGAAGAGAGTTGAGAAAGGTAAAAGTTCTCCTGAACAATACCAGGCATAGGGTGAAGGTTGGAAAGACAGGCTTTCTGGTGAACCAGTACAAATAGTGGTACAGTTGCAGTAAATTGCATGAAGGTTGCAATGTTTATTGTGGTGAGGTCCTGAATGAAGTCGCTTTCATGCAGAAGCAGCTTGTAACCCTTTATGTCATGGCTGTATGTCAGTGCCTTTAAGATACAGCCTGCTGACCACATTCTCTACAGGTGTTCTCTTGTATCTACCTTGTACATACATGGCCTTGTACAAATGGTGAACTTACAGCATGTTAGGTTTGCTGCTGATCAGTGTCACAATATCAGCCGAGACTTTTCCAACTTTTCCAATTGTTTGCCTGTCTTGCCAGGGGAACTACGTCACATAAAGAACCTGAAGCACTGGGGACTATACGAGGTCTTGGTGGAGAAATATGAGTGGCCTCTCGAACAAGCAGTCCAGTTCACGGACTTCCTATTGCCCATGATGGAGTACATCCCTGAAGACCGTGCTACAGCTGCCCAGTGCCTCGAGCACCCCTGGCTAAACTCTTAGGGACAAACCTTGCTCAAACAAACTGATGAATGAAATAAGGGAGTTCTGGCCCCAGACGGGAGTTTCCTGGCTCGTGGTGTAGCCCGCATTGCTGGAGTGGTGATGTGGGGAAGATTGTTTACTCCTCTTAGTTCCAAGATTGGAGACTCTGGCTGATTAAGCTAGAGTTTGTATGGCTGGACTGGAATCCCACATGTCAATTTATGGCTACTTCTGAAGCACAAATGAAAGATGACCAGGATTTCTTGCCCTTTTTTTTTGTTTTTGTGGTTAGCATATGCCTTCTTGGTTGACAGTGGCCATCTTCTCTAGGTGCCATTGGGATAATGCTGTTTGACTGTTTTTAACCAGTTCTGAGATTTCTTGCAGGGATTTTTTTTTCATCAATTTTAAGGTATATGTTTAAAGGTTCCCACCTTTAAAAACCAAACGAATGTGACCGAAAAGTAGTTTGAGAGGAATAGGTACGTGCAAGGTGGATGGTGAGTTGGATGGACCTGAGAGTTGGGAGCAAGAAGCTGGAAAGAGTTGCCAACTTTTTGTTCTCGGAAGAAAATATATCCCTTCCCCTGCCTAAACTTCTATTTTTAACTCCAGGAAAATGTGGCCTTTTTTTTTGAGCAAAAGCTTAACACAGGTGAATGAAATTTTGTAGAGTTATGTAATATTGATGTTGAAATTTAACAGTGGAAGCATTTAGAGGTATGAGAAAACTCATGGGAGAAGAAATAGAAATACAATAATAGCAAAGTGGGAGAGGAAGGATTCTTATTCCAGTGAGTTTCTGAATACCTAGATAAAAGTTTTCTGGTAAGATTCTAAAGTTGTGATCAGCAGCTGAATAAACAGAAGGATGCAATAGTATCGCTCCTCCTTCCCTGAGCATTTATGGCCCCTTTCCATATTATTAGACTATAGCCCCTAATATGCATGCTTTTCACTAATCAGGGGTTGCATATCTGCTCATCATTTGATACTTTGAGAATCTCAATTCAAAAAATAGTTGTGGTTGGGGGGAAAAATTTGAAAGGTATGTAGTTATGAATTTTTTTAGCAGCCTGATTTTTTCTAATATGCCTTGTGATGTCCAAATGTTGTTTTTACTTCTATACCGTTTCACTTCCTTTAGCCCATTTTTTTTAATCCAACTTTTGAGATGGTGAGGGATTATCATTTGCAGAATTGGGGGGTGAGTGGGAGGGAAATTAAGCTAACTGTATGTGTGCGGTTAGTGTGTTTCCTTGGCAGATGTTTGGGGTTGTTCACATTGCTGCCATCTTGGGCTGCTGTTGCAACTCCTGTTCTGATTTTCAACACATGCTACTTGTGATTAGCATTTTTTTTTTCAAAGAAAGAATGGCTGCTCATAAAAGCTTGACCCGGATGAGCAAAATTATTCAAGCTACTTTGTGCCTTTATAATGGAGCCTACCTATTGTTTGCTGGATACACTGAATAGGGAAGGAAAGAAAAGTGAGAGCTGTTACATATAAGCCTTTTTTTTTGCCTTCCACTCCCAAATGTCCTAGGAAAGGAACGCAGAAGAAATAAAGACCTAGAGCCAGGCGTAAAGCCAATGTCCCTTCCTTTTCGTAGAGATACCCTGTTAGAGTTCCTGTTTCTGTGAAAACTAGATTCAGCTGTCTGAATCTGGAGTCTGTGGTTTGAAACTGGAACTGGAACTAGAATACGCGGTTCCGATTCTCCTGAACACTCCAGTCTCAACCTGGGGCATTGAGTGGGGAACATCTGGGTGAAAATACTGTTCATACCAAAGTTGTGTTGTCCCAGAATCAAACCCAATGAGAGCGAGACAAGTCTGTTTTCTTGCACTGTTATCTCCCCAATGAGAAGCCATGGCCTTCCTTTAGAGAGGAGGCCCATGTGTGCCAGTGTTGTGTGGGGGGGGAGTATGTGTGGAAGTGTTTTGAATGCTGTGCTGTTACAGGGATTGAATTCAAAAAAACAATTTTCATTAAAATATTTGCAATAACTTTTGATTCTTCCTTTCTGTGGACAAACCATTACAGGGACGGGAACAGAAACAGGCCAGTTTGCACAGAAGTTGATGCCAGCAGTTTTGAGGCACTTTCAAACTGGTCCTGCGCAACTGCCCAGATCTGTTTTAAAACCCATGCTTTCTGCAGCAGGAATATTACTTTTCTTTTAAATGAGAACAGCTCATTGCGTCAAAATTGAGGCAGTAAGACTTAGGAGTACTATGGCTCCTTTGAATCTCCATTCTGCCAATAGCACAAGAGTTAGGCATATTAGAAAATGTATATTATTCATACGTTGGGGGGAAATGCATTGTAGTAGGCGTGAGCTTTTATTTTCTAAATCAAAATAACTATACTTCTCATGTAGATGATTGTATAAAAATAATGAAGGGTACTTGGCCAACATTCATAGACTCAAGGATAAGAGCAGCAAAATAAGAGCCCAGAAAACCTCTCTAAATTGTTTATATTTATTATTTCTAGTTCATGGAGCTGGGTGAGAAACATTAACTTACACACTATATACAGAAGGATACTTAAATAGTTTGAAATGAAAAGGTCTGCACCATTCATAAAGACTTGCTCCGTTGCTTTTACTGAAGAAAAAGAATGGGTATCTGCTGTAGCTGGGACAGCTTTGACCTTCAGCTTCATTTACTATTAAACAAAAAGCAAATGTATTAATGTTATTAGAGAGAGAGAGATACCGTCAGACCAGTCTTTCAGGACAGAATCAGGCCATGTTGCTAAATTGCTACATTGCAAAAGACAAAGTCTAGGGCAGTGGNCCCTGTGAAATGGTCGATCGACCCCAAATGGGGTCCCGACCCACAGGTTGAGAACCACTGGTCTAGGGCAAGGCAAGTGACATTTCAACCTGGTCTTACCTACAGTGACCTCTTCTAAATGTCTTCCGGGCTTTTCTTTTGGGTAAAACAATTTAAAAAGAAAACCTAGAACATTTTTTTTCCATCTGGCATCCTCCTGTTGACTTGGGTCAGTCCCCAAACCTTCCCTCATAGAAAATTGATGGGTATAAAACTTACGTGACCAGTGCCATATTGGAGAAGGCTACAATTCCTGTTGCCCATTATTCCTTCCCCCCTTTGCTTTACAGATAATCCTCGAATTACAAACACAATTGGGACCAGAACTTCCACCACTAAACAGTGGGGTCACTGAATGAGTCATGCCTGGTTTTACCATCTTTTCTGCCGTGGTCATTAAGCAAATTGTCACAATTGTTGAGCAAATCTGGCTTCCTCACCGATTTTTCTTGTTGGAAGCCCCCTGGGAAGGTCATAGTGATCATGTGACTATGATCATGTAGCATCATGGGATGCTGCAACCGTCGTAAATGCATGACAGTTCTCAAGTCCCCAAATTTTGGTCATGATGATGGGAGGGACACTGCAATGGTCATGAGGACCACTCAGACGTACCTTTGGGGGGCACCCTTGTAACTTGGGTTGCTAAATAAATGGTCATAAGCCAAGGACTACCTGTGCATCTATTTCCTGCTAAAAATAAATTCAGCTAGGTCCATGTCTGGCCTGCCCTGAAGCCCAAGTATGCAATTCATTCACCACCACTGAAGCCAGCTCCATCCCCCAATCTAGGAACTTCTTCCTTCTATTCTCTTACCTGTGCTAGGTGAGACCTAGGCTTGGTGATCTGATTCATAATTGACTGAACAGCGGCTGAGGTGGTACCCTGGCCCCCAATATCTGGCGTGTGGGTCTAAAGAGAAGAAAAAAACAGAACTGCACTAAGCCAGCCTCACTCTCAACTGCACTGCAGCAACAAATGTCTCATAAGTAGTTGAAGACCAGTGCTGAACTTTTGCAACTACAATTCCTAAGCAGGGGCGGCATAAGTGAGGATCTTATCAAGTGACATAAAATTAAACTTTTTACAGAAAATGAAACGTTATAGTATGGATAGGTTGTGAACTCCTAGGGTAAACATAGATGTATAAAGAATGAGTTTAGCTTTATCTGACATGCACTCATTAAACCTAAGCACAATAAACCCAAGATGGGTTTATCCCGTAGGTTTTGGGGTGCTCACCCTCCAGCCTGGTGAATTGGGAAGGGCAAACTTCTGGATTGGAATTTACATTCTTGTTTTAACTGACTTTGTTGTACCCAATGGGATCAGTATAAATTACATTACTGACAGTTGGGATGTTTGATGTACTGCCCCACAACTTTGCAGAGGAAGTCAAGAGACTGACATCCTGTGTATCCCATGGCTTTTTCTGGTATGTTTTTTATCCTCTCCAATGCCGAAATTCCAGTATTAGAGAAGGACCAGTGGCAGTTATTTCCATTATTGCAGATCAAAGGCTTTTGAGGAGTTTTTATTCTCTATTCTTGGAGAAGATGACAAAAAATATGGCTCTATAATACTGTGTAAATTTTCTATCCATCCACCTTCTGTTCAGAAAAATGGTTCATTTTTTCATTTTTGTGTATGTACGTGTGTGCACACCTCCAAGTAAGTGTTAACCTCTGGCAACTGTCTGAACAAGTCCCTGCAGTTTTCCTGGCAAGATTTCAGAAATGGGTTGCCATTGCCTGCTTCTTAGGGCTGGAAGAGAGTGATTGGCCCAAGGTCACCCACTACTTCAAACTGTTTTTCATCTACAGTACGTCACATCTATTTTAGTAGAACTTAGGTTCTTCTGTGCATTTCTCCCTAGGGAAATATTAAGAGCACTTTACTCCATCCTGGAATAGAAAAACTTCTTGCTTCTACTCCCTTCAGTATGTTGTATAATATAATGTTTACTATGGCAATACACCCAAATAGATTCTATCCAGTATCAAGAAAGTCATTCCCACTTTTCCAAGAGAATCTAAGGATACTACTGGTCCCTAAAATCCAAGTGACTAGAGGTTGTTTTTTTTTAAAAAAAAACCACACATTACTTCCCAGTATCTTGATCAAGGTCTGTCCAGATCAGAATAAGAACAACTCACTTCCACATCATCCATGGAGGTTAGGACTGCCTTGCGGATGACAGATGCGTAGCTGTGCAATCTGCAATGAATGACAGATCT